AGATGTGTATAGTCCACCATCAACGTTGACTGTACCAATGGAACAAGAAGTAAGAATTTAATTTTATCCAATGAAATTTACACAATCTGAAATATATTAAATACATAATATGGGTTGCCCTCAATAAATACAGTAGAATGTATAAAACTACATGTATGAGGCAAAAGTTCCTGTTACAGAAATGGTCCATAGTGGAACCTGTCAGATGGTCCCCAGGGAGTTGTCAGCAGCTCCATAAACTTAACCTAATTGGTTTACACTTAAGTATAAACAGTAAATCGCATAGGGCTATTAGGCTTATCAGACCATTTGAGAGGGTAAGTGTGTTAGCTGACCTTGGAAGCAATTTGGGTTGTACATGAAGGAAGTGGACATTGAATATTTTAGAAAGTTTAAACACTGTTATATAATTTTAAAAATTGATGAAAATTCAAACTGTTTTGATCACATTTTTATTACATTGTTGCCTCCCTCCACCTGTCGCCAGGTCATGCATTTTTTCAAGATGCCTCTGCCCAGCACTGTTGGTGGTGGTAATTTAAGTAAATGCTGTGAAATGTTATTAATGCAAAATTGAACAAATGTTATCTTCATTTTAGATGGCAAGACAAAAACTTCCCTTAATGACATCCTGGCATTCATCAGTGGAGCTGATGTCATCCCACCAATGGGATTTGAAGACAGCATCGATGTCGAATTTTTTACACGAAATCCGGATGCTAGAACCTCCCACAGCATCAACATGTGCTCTAGAACTGCTACATGCCACGTGGGATGGAGGATCCAGTAGATTTCAGAAATTTGTTTGAAGAAGCCATCCTTAATGGCAAAGGCTTTGGTAAAATTTAAATACTGATACTACTATGTGGTCCCTCAATGTTGTATTTGTGGCAAAGAAAAGCCAAACCAGTCACTCATGTTCAGAGATAATGGCCAAAACATGATGGAATGTCAACATTTTTGAAATCTATTTTATTGCACTAAACTAACCTTTATATATATACATCATACTATGCTGTTATTTTCCCAATTTTTAATTTTTAACGATTTAGTGTTAATCTTTGGAAGAGAAATGCCGAAAATCATAAACTTTAAAGGCTGATTTCTCAAATATCATTCTTTAAACAGCTCTATGTTTAAATGCTTGTAACTTTATCAGGAAATTTCTGATTTCAGTTATTCTCTCATTTTACTGTTTAACCCTGTATTAATAACTAAAAATCCATTTTTGCAACAAATGACTGATTAACATCATGAGTAACTTGAGACACAACAATTTCAATTAAGATTCAACCCTGTACTGTGAATATTACCTGATTGCTCTTGATTCATATCCAGAATCAAGGCTATACAGAATCCAGAAAGACAGGGCTGCAGTGCCAGTTCTGGTTTAGTAGTAGGTACAGGCCAAAAAAAATAAATTGTTTGTTTGCCCTTCTTTTTATAAAAATGATAAATAGGGGCAGGTAGAAAAAGTTTTTTTTATTTACTTTTACTTTTTTTAAATACTCATCAGATAGAATAAATATAACCCACAGAAGCCTAGAATGGTAATAACTAATACATCAGACAAACTTTAGACAAATTTGAAGGGCATTTGGCAAAAAATAAAGATAAATTTAGTCAAATTTTTTTTTTTATTTGTAAAAAAATGCTAAAGTTTTTTTTTTGTTTTTCCGCCACCTTTTTTTTCAGTGAGTTAGGGGCGG